AAAGGGTGGGCTTAGAGCAAAAGCAACACAGCTATCATGTTGCTGAGGGGCTACCAATTCTATCTCTGAAAACTTCCCTTGGATTTCTGGACGGTGAGTTGCTTGGCCAACATTCTTTGTGGACCCAGTTCTGGCATTTCCTTAACTACAACTCTATGAAGGACAGTTCATTATAGTGACAAGGAGGTGAGCCCTGTACAGAGTCCACCTCTGGAACTCACTAGTTATATGGCTTTGGACAAGTCATTTAACCCTTCTGTGAAGTTTTCTTATCTATATAAAAGGGAAAACAAAACTAGCATCTTCTGAGTTTTGTGAAGATTAAATGACCTCATATATGAAAAGTATTTGGCACATTACTTGGCACCCAGCAATGGATCAGTCCATTTAAGCTGAATTATTTTAAAAGTTGTAGTAATTGAGCTTCTGTTTGATCAGTGCTTACCTGAGACAGCCCATCACATTGCTAGCAGGACCCATCATAAGGCAACCCTTATGTGCTTCCCTGTAAGTCCTATCACAGGGTCTCATTTGCTCTGTTGAGCACTTAGATCTAAGCCTCATGGACTTACTTCTGACTCTGAATCAGGAGCAGGGCTAGCCCATGCTTGGTCTCTGTCCCTTTCTTCTTCCTCTCAGATGGAGGAGCCACACAGGAATGCTGTCTGGCTTCAGTCCCAGAGCCATTTCCTCTATATCTGTACCACCTTTCAACATTGTTGGCATACTTCCTTTTTGAACTGAGGCACAATTCCACAGTGGCCACAGCAAATGCCCTTGAAAGTGTGCCGCAGTGGATGTTGGGTTGGCAGTGTCCTGGGGCACGTTCATGTCCCTGTACCTGGAGTCTGGTTGGGTCAGCCAAGCATGATTCCTTCTCATAACTTCCCTGTACAGAGTATGTGATTTCACCTCTGATGCCTGTTGGCTGAACTCATTGAATCTGTCTACACCACTGGGTTCTGGCCTTTCAGATCGCCTCCCTGGATCAAGTGTGTTCCATTGTTGGTTCATGGTCACCATTGAAGGTGCTTCAGTCTAGGGACATCTTGGGACTTATTTGGAGAAGGGTTTCTAACACTCATCTAAGACCTTCGCTTTCCCTTGAGTATGGAGCTTGATTCTTTCCTAGGAGCAGTGTTTGACATGGTCCATTATTCCTTCCTTCTCGAAAACACTCTTCTCTTGGCTCTGGGGCACTTGATTCTCCTGGGTTGTTATCTTACCGATTTGGCCACTCCTGCTCTGCCTCGTGTGCAGGCACATCTTCCTCTACCCACTCATTAAGTGCTGCAGACCCTCTACTCTGTCTCTAAGCTTGATTCTCCTTTCACTTTTTATTCTTTCCCTGAGTGACTCCATCAACTTCAGGCTTCAGATACAGTCTGTGTGCATAAATCACACAGTTTTACCTCCAGCTCAGACCTCTTTCCAGAGTTCCAGACCTGCATTTTTTTTTTAAAGATTTATTTCTTTATTTGAGAGAGCGAGAGAGAGTACATGAGAGGGGGGAGGGTTAGAGGGAGAAGCAGGCTCCTCGCCAAGCAGGGAGCCCGATGCGGGACTCGATCCAGGGACTCCAGGATCATGACCTGAGCCGAAGGCAGTCGCTCAACCAACTGAGCCACCCAGGCGCCCCAGACCTGCATTTTTAACTGCCTCCTTTTCTAGAGTATATCTCTAGTTCAGATTGCCCCCCAAACACCCATTTTCTCTCTACAGCTGTACTCATTCTATTGTTTCTTGAACCCATAAGCAGCACCATCATCCACCTTGTTATGAAAACCAAAGACTTGGGGTGCATGGGTGGCATAGTTGGTTAAGCATCCAACTCCTGGTTCCGTCTCAGGTTGTGATCTCAGGGTCATGAGATTGAGCTCCATGTTGGGCTCCATGACCAGCAGGGAGTCTGCTGAGGACTCTCCCTCCCTCCCCCTCTGCCTTTCCCCTACACATGCACTTGCACTTGCATGCACACACACACACACAGAGTCTCTCTCTCTTTCTCAAATCTTAAAAAAAAAAAAAAAAAAGGAAACCAAAGACTTGTGGACATCCTTGACATCTTTCTCCCTCACTCTCTGCATCCATCCCATCAACAGGTTTTATTTATATGCATTTCAAGTAATCATCTCTTTTTTTCTATCTCCACCGCCATCACCTAAGTCCACACAACTATCATCTCCCACCTGGACGCCTACCATGGTTTCCAAATTCGTCTCTCCAAGCCACTTTGGCTCTATGCTGAAGCTGGAATGATCTGTTAGAAAAGCAAATCTGAGCATATTATTGCTCCATGAACAACACTTAAATGTCTGGGTTTCTCGGGGTAAAGAACAGAAGCTTTCATTGTGGCCTCTGATGCCCTGTGTGGACGGGCCCCAGCTGTGCTCTCCAGCTTCTCTCTTACCATGCTAGCTCTGCTTTCTCACCCTCATTACACTGTTTCTTTCATTTCTTGAATGCTCCAGGCTCCTTGCCCCATCACATAGTGCTGTTCCTTCTGCTGCTCCCACAGGCTCTTGTAGTGTTCTCTAACTGGTTATAGTCCGTCGTCCCTCGGAGCTCACCCCATTGGCCACATCTTCCCACTAGTGATTTCATTCCCCTCTTATGTGATTTCCAAGTGCCACATGCCTCTCTTGTCTCATCATTAACAGATTTGAAAGCTTACTGTTACCAATTCATGGTTCATTAATTCTATCTCCCGAGCCCCCCCCCCCCCCCCCCCACCGCCCCACCACTCATGGTAGGTTCTTTGAGGGCAGGAACTGTGCCTGTTTTGCTCACCACTGTATCACTGAATGCCTGGCATATAGTGAGTGCTTGTGATTATTTACCAAAGGAATGATGTGTGAATCTCTTTAAGCCAAGCCAGCAACAGTGTTCCTAAGGTAATAGGATCCTCTCCAGGGCTCCTTTGCCCTTGTACCACTGGTCTCTAGAATAGGATCTCAGAGCAGGCACTAAATAAAGTTTAGCTATGCCAGTGAATGCTCCCGAGCCAATTTCCTTCCTCCAAATCCAAATAAAAAGATTCTGATACAATTGAGGAAATTGTTATCTGGGGTGTTCAGTTTCCCTGATGTTTGGTACGCAGTGGACTAGCCACCATCTCAAAAATCATGGCTCCAAACTGGGAAATGGAGGCTATGTGGGGGCTCCTTGGAACCTGCCCCCATTCTGGGATATGAGACCAGCCCTGCCAAAGAGGTGGTTGGCTAACTCCCCCTATGAACTCTCTGGGCTGTAGATGAGTAGAGGTTGCTCAGGCAGCCCTGGGATTTGATGAGCTGGTCTTGCCTTTAGCTGGTGAAGGGAACTGAATAAAATCCCATATTCATGAGTCCATCCGGGAGAAGGATCTCTCATCCCATTCAATAGATAGCATCGTTTGACACATGGGTGCTCAGTAGTAAGTGAATGAATGAGTGAAGCAAACAATTGCAGTCCACTCAACAGTCCAATCAACAGGAGGAGGAGAAGGACAGCCTGTGTGAGAGACACTGACAGAGAGATGAGGACACGCACTCCCTGTTCTTGGAGACTGGTCATTCCCACTGGGGAGACTAGACTAAGTAAACCCAGCTTGTCCCAGTTACAAGACAGTTTGGGGAATGTGCTGTGCTCCAGGAAAACACTTGACACAATAAGAAGAAGGGATGCATCCTTGTGCTGGAGGGCTGTTCTTAAAAATCAGTGACTTTGGGGAATCAGAATCATAGCTTATGGGCATTAGCATCCCTTCAATTCAGCTGAGTCCTGTGAACACATGGCTGAAAATGGAGAAATTCAATTTGGTTCCATGAGAACAAATGTGTGTGGGCATAGATGTCACCCCTTCAGCTAAACGTTGAACAATCACAAACATTAAGGGAATACCTATTACAAGCCAGGCTCAGTGCTACCAAGAGGAAACGAAGATAAAGGAGGTATAATCTCCCCCCACCCAAGGAGCTTACAGACCACTGGAGGAGACAGATGGAGAAACAAATAACTAATAATATCTGTATATTGAGGTGTGAGCCAAGTGTTACAGGGGGTTAGAATTTAGTGAAGAAGGAGGAACTGTCCCAGGGGTACAGGCCACCAGAGGAGATGCAGTCACTGATGAAAGATGAGCTGGTGTTGAGGAGGCAGAGTAGAGATGTGTCAGGGAGAGGATTCTGTGGATTTAGGCTGCCCCACACAAACATGGCACCATTGGGAATATGAACAGGAGCAGGAAGGAATTCACTCAGGGTGCTGGTAATCCCTGGGCCACTCTCCAGGAGTGTTCATATAGGTGTCTGGAATGAGAAGTGGCCTCTGACCCCTGGTCCATTGCCTGAAGAGTCCAGGCAGAGGCATTTTTTGGCTACCTAGAGTTGAATCAACAAGTTAGTACCTGGCAGAGCACGTAGCATCAGCATTAAATTCCAGAAATGGAGTTAGTTGCATGTGTTTTCCGAACCCCAGGCAGTTCCTTCAATGTACTACATTTCTGCCACACCATTTGTTTCATATAAGGCACAAAACAAAATCTTTATGTTTGTACCTTTAAAAATCCAGTGATTTTAATCGTGTTACCTTAACAACAAAGCTGTTGTTTTCACCACTTACCAAAAAGAATAAAGTAGGGCTTGGGATAATTCCATGAACTCAAAAATCGAACTACAGATCCATGGTTTGATCCCAGGGACAAATCAGTGTGGGAGATAAAACCTTCCACTTGATTTCACTGGAGGATAAGAATGCCCCAACCCAGCAGTTGTGCAACCTTGGACCACTCATTTCATTTCTCTGCACCTCAGTTTCTTCATCTGAAAAAAAAAAGGTATAATAATCAACATCACAAGGGACTAACCCTCAAAAAGATTAGATGGGACACTGTGTGTAATGCTCTTAGCACAGTACCTGGCACATAGTCAGCACTCAATAAATGGAAGCTGTTGTCATTATAATTGTTTTCTAGTCATGTGTATGAGCCTTTTCAACATCTTTCTTCTTTCCCCTCGAAGGTGCCTCCACTCAGAATTCTAACACTGTAGAGCCAGAGAAGCAGGTGGACAATACCGTGAAGATGGCCGGTGTGATTGCTGGCCTCCTCATGTTCATCATCATTCTTCTGGGCGTCATGCTCACCATCAAAAGGAGGTGAGTGTCCGGTGCTGCCCTTCAGACTCTGCTGACCCCACCTGGCCCAATACTGCCGTGTGGCCAGGTCCTTGTTCCGCTGATCACTTCCAAGCAGGGACCTTCTTTTATGAGTGTTCAAGTCCTGAAATACTTGAGCCAGTTGTGGCTCATTGTGTTGGCGTCTGAAAGGTGTGTGCTGCCTGTTTGGCAAGTGACCCAGAGAGCAGTGGTTTCCTACAGAGCCAGTGATCCCTCCTACGGTTGGGCCACCCTGATGTGCCATGGGATTCCAGGTCATGAGTCTTCTCAGAGTTAACTGCTCTGTTATAACTGATCAAGTCTCATCATGATTACTGGGGAGCCCCAGAAATACAGATGGAGGAAAATAATGCTTCACCCTTTTTGCCTTCACTCACCCTGATTTCTCCTTGGTCTACCAGCAGTATCCCAAGCTGACCCCAGCGTGGCAGAGATAAAGCCTCCTGTGGTGCTGTAGTCCCAAAGGAAGGTTCCTTCCTACTCTATGTCTGATAATATCATCCCAGCTGGATTGTTGCTGCTTGTTATTTCTCAACAAGATGTCTTCCTGGGTCCACTAACACAGTTACTGCCTGTTGAATTTCTCATGAAAACCAGGGTACAGACTCCTCCTTATCCCCACATCCCCAAGATTTGCTGCACTGACATCTTTTGTTTATCAGACATTCACAAGGGAATTGCGGAGAGGGAAAGGAACCATTCATCTAAGAAAGCTGATGCGTATCAGCTGTCACTGTCCCAGGATCAAGGTTATTCCTCCAAAGAGGGAGTCCCAGGGCTCACCTCTCCTTGACCCCTGGGCTGGCACCATGTTTCCATACCTACCACCCACCTCCCTGTCTTCTCAATTTCAACATGGCAGTCCCAGTCTTGGTCTCCTCCTTCCCACTCCCCTAGTCAGCCAGAGCAAACAAAACATTCATCTACATTGTATATTATATGCTGCAGCATGACTTGCCCCCAACTTGAAGATAATTTTACATCATTAAACAAACCACTTAACACCTAGCCTGAAGCTCTGCTTGTTTGGTCATTCACAGAGTTTAGGGCAAGCCCCATAACAAGGACCCAGGGACTTGCTTCCCTCTGTGAAGCAAAAAGTGCTCATGAAATTTGTTTCCCACCATAGCAAAGAGACAGAATGTCCTAAAGACAAATTCCAGCTTCTACCTAAGGAGTCCCATGAGTATAAATGCAGAAAGTTTTTGATTTTTTTTTAAATCCCCCTTTCCAGTGTTCAGTGAGTCAGAAATACTGGGGTTCCCACTATGCATGCAGTCAGCCTTCTCTTAGCTATTTTGGCACCAGAATATCCCTGTGTCTTTCATGACTCTGTTCTGAATCAGCTAGTCCTCCCTCTGGCCAGGATATCTTATTGGTAGGACCTTGTCCTTTCTTGATATCCTTTGTCTAACAGGATCACTCCTTTCCTCAGGCTCTCAATAGAATGACGGGAGAGTTAAGGTTCTTACCCAGCTACTGATTTTCTGGTGGGAGAGGGGAAAGGGAAGGTATGACATTAATATCAGGGAACAAGAACCCCCGAAGCACTAAGGACAGCACCGCATTGTCATATCCTCATCATCCCTAAGACCATATTATAGGTCTTAGTAATCAGTCAGCTGCTATTAGGTGAAGTCAAACATGAAGTCTGGTTTCTCTGGAGGCAGTAAGCACGTGTAAGATTGCTGACATGTTTCTTAGAGTCTCAGACGCATTAGAGGCAGAGGTGGGAGTTTGGGATTGTCTACCTGGAAAAAGTAACCAATTTAATAGAATCGCATATCCTCTGATAGACCTGAAATGTTCTCATTCTTTGCCACTGATTTGTAAGTCAGATAAGCTCTTCCAATTTTGCTCTTTCTAAAGCCTGGCTTAACCCACGTCACCATCATCTGTGAGCTTGTGAAGAAATTTCACTTCCTTCTCTACAGCTATTTCTGCAATGTGTGACTTTTCGGGAGGGAGGAAAGGGCTTTCTGTTTCCAGGGTGGGAACAAGTATAAAGTGAGTCCTTTGTGTGGTTTTAACCTCTACTGTGTATCTTCATCATTGCTCACCTGTATCAAAACCGTCCATCAGACCCAACCAAGAGGAGTCACATGATCACCGTTTGTCCCCAAGAGGCAAATTTGAGATGTTGTGGCATCAAAGGGGGTGGGCAGGGGCAGGGACTAATCACTGTTTGCATACACAGTATCTTTTGGAAAAAAGAGAAAGGGAAAAGCTGAGAGTAATAATTTACAGATGGGTGCAGGGCAAGGAAATAAGAGAAAAAGAGAACATAAATATAGGTCTGCGCTCTTTCCAGTAGCCTAGTGTCTTCTGATGTTGAGAGATGCCCCCGAAGGACAGTGAAGCATTTGGTGAGCTCCCTTAGCTCTTCTGACTCCAGCCCCTTATAGAAGTATGGGGAAAGCTTCACTGTTCAATTGAGTCTGTCACTAACTTACTGCTGGCCTGAATGTTGTCTGCAGCTACCTAAAAGGAAGAGATATTAAAGGAAAAGAAACCCCTAAATAATAGGCAGATCATCACAACTCATATCCTGGTGTCAGCATCTCTTCAGTATCCCAGTGTGACCTAGAGTTAATTCCTGGATGCAGGAACTCTCAGAAGTCACATGCCTGATGCACCCCCCTCCACTGACTTGAATCCTAAGGGATTCACCTGGCTCAAAAATTTCCCCAAAGCACAGCCAGATGTTTCAATACACATAAGATGTCCCTCGATTCTCCCTGCAGTGTTCATCATCATTGGCCTTGGGGCTTCCTTGTGGCTCTCTGATGAGGGTCTTTCTCTTGCTGTTAGATGTTTCCTTTGGTGATACTGAACTAGAAAGCTATGGAGAATAGGCTAGAGATACAGAGGACCAAGGGAAAGACTTAATGAAAGAAGCTAAATCAATTGTTTTGTTGTTGTTGCTTGGTTGTTTTGTAATGGATGAAGGGGGTATTGAGAAATGTAAGGTTGCAGAAGGGGATGTGAAATGTCGGTGGGTGATTCAAACAGGATTTGCCAAAAATACAAGTTGAAGATTTTGCGTAGTACCTTTGGCTGTTTGGAGAGGGCTTCTTTGAATTCAGGCCAATGCAGGATCAGAACTACATGGAGATACAAAGGGTTACATGAGCATTTTAAGAAAGCAACCTGGGGGGAACCTGGGGGGCTCAGTTGGTTAAGCAACTGCCTTCAGCTCAGGTCATGATCCTGGAGTCCCTGGATCTAGTCCCACATCAGGCTCCCTGCTTGGCGGGGAGTCTGCTTCTCCCTCTGATCCTCCCCCTCTCATGTGCTCTCTCTCTCTCATTCTCTCTCTCTCAAATAAATAAATAAAATCTTAAAAAAAAAAAAAAGAAAGCAACCTGGAGCTCCTCCCTGATACAGTTCTTAACTGGGATATTGAATATTGGCTGGATAATGGCTCCATCCTTTACTCCTGGTTCTCTTGATCACATCTGGACCTCAAAATGTTCTAGAATGGGTCTCTTTGTGCCATTATGTAATAGAACATACCTCCTTTTCACTCACCCTGTTGAGTTTTGAAATAGAGAGAGACTGTCATTACTACAATCCCGGTCATCTTCTTCCCTGGCCTCCTCCCTCTAGAATTGCTGGACATCCTCTCCCAAAGGAATATGTTGCTAGGTGTGGTCCCTTGGCTTACTACTATAGGGCTGTGGGTGCCATCAATGAAAAGAAAGGTGGAAAGCTCAAGCCTCAGTGCCTTACCCTTGGTGTTTGAAGGTGTTTATTAGCCACTCACATATGGGAAGTTCTACATTTTAATGTTTGTTTTGGCGATATGCATGTATGTGTGCATGCCCACAGGCTTCACATAGTCCCAGTTTAATCCTTGGGACACACTTGCTGAAGTCTGAGCATGGTCCTCCAAGGCTTAAGGCATAGTCATTTACTTTTGCACGGGGAAACACTGGAGCTATGAAGCAGGATTCTTTGGTAGATGTGTACCCCAAGACTTGTCTGGATCCTACATTAACCTTTCCATTCCTTTTTACTTTTCAAATGGAAACTGAACAACTTTTAGGGAGACCTTTTTGAAGTCAGTCCCTACCCATGGTTCTAGCCACCTCTATCTCCCCTCTTCCTCCCCCTGCCCAGCTTTTCTTGGTCCAGCCTTGATCTTCTGCCAACCATGCTTTGTCCAAATAGTAACTTTTCTAAGAATGAATTTGGAGTGTCTTGACTTTGAGATATGATAGCCTACTTTGAGAAAAATGTGCATCTCTTGGTGTACTTTGATTATCTGTGACTTGGGTCTGCCCTAGGAGCTCCCAGTCTAATAGGTATAGACATCTTTTTGCTGTGGAAAGGGAAGCAGAAAAACTGGGTCCACATCTCTACAGTCCCATTTATTTTCTGTTAGCCTTGCAGAAACAACAAAGCTCAGCCTCTTGCTTTTTCACCTGTGAGATGCAGCTAATCCCATGGGGTTGTTCTGAAGATCAAGTGAGCTAATGGTTGGGACAGGCTTTATTTCCTGTACCTGCCTAAGAGATCATAAAGCATAATGTCAACAGGGGCATTCATCTCTCACGTGACCATCAACTGACCAAGCCAGCTCCAAACCCATTGCTAATATGCTAAGGGCGGTGCTACAATCAGTACACACATTCTAACATATTTGTACATTTTCCATTTAAATGGCCCCCATATTCTGATTTTAATACTACAGGTAATTGTAATAGGGTAGGACGTTGTACTCCTGTGGGGGGTTTTTTGTGTGTTTGTTGTTGTTGTTGTTGTTTTGAGAAGAGGAAACTGAAGTTCAAAAAGGTTTACAATTTGCCCATGACCTTGGAGAATCAAAACACAAACCCAGGCTCTGTGATTCCAGAGAGTTAACTGAATGCTCATAACTTCTATTCTGTCAGTCTATGGAGACTAGTAGGAAATACGTGAATCCTGGAATAGGAAACAGGCAACCCAGGTTCAGGTATCCTTTGCTGCTCTTCTCT